GAATACAATGCTCAGAATTAAAAATAAATAAAATTTAAATGCATTTTTTTCAATATAAAATAAAATAATTCATTATTTTGTCGTAAATTATATTAAATTATAAAATAAAAAACTTTCATATGAAAAAAATTAAATATCAAAAGACATGTTTATCATTTAAAATTTATATTTTATTATTTAGTATAATTCCAATTACAGAACACTTTTCCAATAATTAGAATTATAAATGAAATTTATTTATAGCAAAGATTATATCGCATCAAAATTAATAATTTCATTAGTAACAGAGCTGACGTCTTTATAAAACTTAGTGCTTTGCAATCGTTATTTTTCTCCTACATAAAATAAATTACATAGAAGAAAAAAACAAGAAAACCTCGTTATGTCCGACAAGCATGGCCTGATGTCGATGCCTTGAACAAAGAGACCGCCCACAGCGTACCTATCATACGACAAAATATGTATTTCCAATTCTTCAAGTTCTCCACCTCCATTGAAGAATTCACCCAACTCTACCTCAACCCAACCATCTCCTCTCTCTTTTGGGTACTGCTCACCATTTTGTGCTACACGTCCACCATCTACATCAACATACACAATTTGCTTTGAAACTTGAATTCCACCAAGTCGAAAAGAAGCATCTATGGGTTTATTCTCAAATCCTTTAGCATAGGCTGCCAATTTGAACACTAGGAAAGCATGATAACGTGTCATCGGGGAAAGATTGCAACTATCAATCCTCCCAGTGATTTCGAACCAACAGACATCAAGAAGCTCCGCAACCTCAGGAAACCTGTTTGAAAATTAATGTAAGCATGAATGATATATCATATTATCACATATCTATTTGTTCTAGGTTCGGGAAGGAGACTTTATAAAACAATCACGTGTCGGTTTGCTTGAATAATTTTGTTTCTAAATGACTAAACGTATGTATGCGTTTTGTGAAAAGCATGATTTTGTTTGTGTTTCCTGTGTGGTTGAGAAAGATACCTGGAATGCGGTATGGAGATCCACCTCCAATAATAAGGGGTATCACCCCATGCAATTGCGAGGTTCCTGGGAGCTAGCATGTAACATTTTTTCCCACTCCTTTTGTCCAGTGAAAAGCTTTGTGCAATGTATGTGATATGATTAAAGACTCAATGCTAGTATTGTAAAATAATAGTATGGAAAAGACTACTCTGATCAGCTTCAATTCAATTCAAGATGTCTACCAAATTAATCAATGAAAAGAAGGATCACATAAACGCCGCATAGAAAGGACATAAAAATCGTTAATCATTATATTAACAACAAGAACATAATCGTCTTTCAAAACATCGTCATTGTAATCATATCATTGTCCAAATACATTAGTTTTATTTAATTTAAACACAGCAAGGGAAAGGAAGCTGGCCAAAAAAATGGGAAAAGAAAGAAGGCGGCGGAAGCAGAATTTTTTTAGGGGCCATATGCAAACTCAACGTTGATACCTTACAATTTTAACAAAACCAAATCAGAAGAAAAAAAAAATCATTTGAGGACCAACATAACAAAATAATTAGAGTGCAGGTTGGGACTTGGGATGTTTCTATACCTTTTTACCGTCTTCAATGAGGACAGGATGGTCGCAGAGGCTGAGATAAAGGGACTTCAAGGAAGAAAAGGAATGCGATGCAGGAACCAAATTCTGATAGTCGGCCGGCAGGAACTTAACCCAAAGGGCGTCGGAACCGGCGGCAGAGTTGAAAGCTTTGGAAACCAGCGACGATCTACAGGCATCGAGTGGACTGGTTAAAGAGATAATGAGGGCTAGACAATCGTTGGGAAGATCCTCGAAATTCGGTATTCCGGAACTCGTTTGTTCACTTCTCCGATTGCCGAAT